GTCTAAAATAAACTTAAAATTTGTACAAATTATTACGCATTTTTCACATATTTACTTATATGCCTTTCCCTCTTTTATAGTGTGATATACGCCTTCCACGCAAAGGCTACTCGGTGCCACGCTCCGGCACTGTACAGGCAACTCTGCTGAATCCTATGGGCACTGTAGTGCGTATGTTCGTTATACCGTACGATATGCGCGACATGCCACCACTACATCAAACCTTCATAAGACAACGGATACTGGCCGAGGCCAGCACCCACGAAGCGACGACGCAGAATGTACAGCCACCTCAACAGTCCGTTAATATTGTGGAACAACAAAACGATAGCAACGGCATGGTCTACACAAATGGCTTTGAAAGTAGCGCTGTTGCATGCGGCGGTGGTGATGATACTTTGAACTTAAACAATAACAACAACGACTGCTATCAAAATGGTAATAACACAGTGAATGCCAAAAACAAATATCGTTTATCACCTAGTGGCGGCCTGCATGGCGTAAGCAATCTCGGACACTTCATATCCGCTGAGCATATGAAACGCTTACGATATTCCATACATTTAAGGTAAGTTAATCAGTTAAAAATTCGTTAATAAATTGCCGTTCCAATAAAAGAAAGCCGAAAACATTTAAATGCCTGCTTAGTTTCTAAAGGCACTCCCTTATTTACCATTCTTAAACAATTATTCTCCCTCTCCCACTACTCCATAATACCCATACAGATTCCAAACGTCACGCTCTGGTCGCCTATCGCTGCACACCGATATACGCTTGTTGATCTCACGTCGCACCGATTTAGATACGGCTGCGGCACATGCCAAGGGCGTACTAGAGGCGCCCAATGATCTCGTCACCGACACCGTTATGCCGACAAATCCCAAATATAGCGCACGTCAAGACCAAAGTAACAGTAGTGGCGGCAGTGGTGGTGGTGGTAGTAGTGGAAGCAGTACAAATGTGATCGCCGCTGCTGCAACAAATAGTATAAGTACAACAGCAGCGGCTGCAACGGCAACAACAACAACCAACAACAGTAACGGTAGCGCCAGCAGTAAGATTTAGTAGTTGGTGCGGGCAGTGCGCACACAAACGCATCATTATTTTTTACTATTTTGGAAACAATTGCGTTTACGTTTGCAACATTGGCACTGCAGTTATAATTAAGTGATGGAGAAGCGGGAGCAGAAGGAGGAGGAGGAGGAGGTGTAGGTGATATAGGAGAGGAACAGTTGATCAGAAGTTGATGATGGAGTGCAGACAGCAACCAAAGCAGAGAAACAAAATAAAACTGAAAAGCAATCAGCAACAAAAAAAAGACTGTCATTCTAGTAAGCACACGCTTTCCAGTCGCCTTCGCAACGAGAACAACTTTAACGTATTTTCTCATTACAAAATATCTTCTCCACTTGAACGCGTATTTTCTATTTTATCGATTTAATGTAGCGCTACTGCGCCAAGCTATACAGCCATCCCTAATAATTTCAACACATCGATATACCCTTCAACACAAATCGCTAAGTGTGCATACCCTTTTGGCATTTTTTTATTTTGTGCATACATATGACACACGCTTGTGCACTTGTGCACTCATAAATATATACATACATATACCTACATGCATTCAAACTCATCGAACTAAAAATACCTTATGTACAATTCGATACAAAAACACATTGTGTAATTTTATTTTATAAATATTACTTAAATACAATTTTTTATTAGAATATCTTAAACATACAATATACGATATATATTATTTATTTTTTAATAATTGAAAAATAATATAAATTGAAATGAAATTTGCAAATTTAAAGAAAATGAAAAGAAATTAAGTATAAAATTATTGAAAAGGAAATCGCTGTGAGTGTGCAAGTAGCCAATGGAGTTTCACTTGCGAGTGGCCTTTAGGATTTTTCTTTTGCTCTGCCGTACAGGTGTTTTTTTTTTTTTAGTGCAGCAAGGTTTACATATGTAACTTATGGGTATGCCTATAGAGTTGAACTATAGGAGGTTTTATTTATGGGTTTTAAGTGTATCACGGATTTGTGTATTCCCCTCTTTTATTTTTTAACTTTAAAGAGATTGGAAAGGATAATCGCTTGGATTGCCTTGTAACGTTTTTTTTTTTAAGTATTTTCTGCAAGATAAAGAAATTATGTATTTTGTAGATTAAACCAAACACCCGTGTCAGTCAGTCTTACTAGAGGTGATTTAAGTTTTGAACATACGTTGTTCAAATCCACACTTAGCTCAAGCTCAGCATAGCTAATGCATAGGGCCAGCGGTTGCTACTGCTGCCAAGACCAGCTTGTTTCTCTTCCATTCGTATTGGATTTTATTCGTTAATTTTAACGCAATTTTTACGAATTTTCGTCGGAAATGTGAATACATACATATGTACATACGTATGTGCAATCGCTAATATCGATTCATTTAGTATGAATGTAAGTTTATAATATTAAGTGTGTGTTAGTAGCAGTGCGAATGTGAGCCGAAGTATTTATTTATTCTTATTTTTTATTGCCTTAAAACTATTTTTTTTTTGTAGACCAATACCGCAAACTGTAGATAACAAATCAAATTAATGAAAATTGTGTCGCATTCAATTTTTATGACTCTGAGTTACTCTCATAGGGCTGCCTACAGCCTCTGGCTAAATCCGGCAATTTTTTTTTTTTTAATTAAAAAACTCGTAAAAAATCGTTTTCGGTCTTATTTTGAATTAAAATGTGATAACGGACGTGACAGATTTCTCCTCCATAAAATATTTTTAGTAATAATAAATTTAATTTTTATTTAACTTTTTTCAGTTATTCTCTTCCTCCCATATGTACATACATACATAATTCGTTTTGCTTGTACAAACTTTTTCTCTTTTTAGTTCGAGCCTTTAAATGTATATGTACATACATACATATATCGATTGATGGTCCTGTGCAATAACGAAACAATTCAAAATTAAAAAAATAAAACTGTTACTACTGGCGCATATCTCTAATCCTTATCGAATCCATGTACTTACTTTAGCAAAGCTTACTGCTTACTTTAGTAGGGGATGGAAATGGATTAGACAAGGATTAGAGACAAGAGCCACTTAACAGTACTAACAGTTTTTATTTTTTGAATTTTGAATTGTGTCGTTATTGCTCAGGACCACCGATATATCCACATAATTTTTTTTTATCGATTTTTTTTTAAACAATTTTTTAAACTTTTTAAATAGTCATGAATTTTTAATAAAAATTTTTATTTGCATAAATTCGTGTTAATTTGAATAGTAGAAAATTGTGGCTGTCATGGATAAAACCAAAAAGATAATTACTTAACACATGGTTGGATTTACACTAAACTTGGAACTCGAAAATATTTTCATAAGAATTGTGACAGTTCCATAAACTTTCGAGGTTTTCGTGCCTTTTTATTTTTTAAAAGGCTATTTTTAGAAAAAATTAAATTTTTTTATTTGTGCCTTTCGCGACATGCGGAAATTACATTTTTTTTTAAACTTTACGTTGATTTCACATTAAATATTAAATAATTTGTAACTAACAAAAAAAAAATCTTGTTGAAAATTCTACTTTTTATATTCAATGAAATTTTTATTTTTTTTTTTTTAATTTTTACTACATTTTCGAAAATGTTGTGTCAATTATTTTGTGGAAATTATTTTCTTTAGTATCCTGTGCCTTTTAACTAGTAATGTTTTTTTAATTTTTACTATATGCTATGTTTTCAATTGCCAAAATATTGTGTTTCTTAAAATTATTAAAGCGCTTATCTATTAAAAAAAAACTAAAAAGTTTGTACAAAATATTTAAAACTTTTGTTTTTACATTTTGTCTTAAAAAACGAATCATTTTTATTTTTTAAAGTAGTAGAAGGGATATTTTTCGAGTATTTATGTATTTCCATTTATTTTTTTATAAAATTTTTCCAAAAAATCGTATTAATTATTATATAGTTTATTAAAAAATATTGCAAAATCTTAATTTCATTTTAGTTTGTAAAAAGTTTTTCCTTCAAAAGGCAGCAAAACATAGACTAGTAAAAAAAAATTAAAATTTGTCCACCTTATTTACTATTTTTGAAAAATATTAAGATGTACGTGAGTTTCACCGATTTGAAAAGACCTCCAAAAATTGCATCATTGCGATTTCTTTGATACAGTTTTTAAATATTTTTATGCAGACCTTTTATGGTCTGATTATGACAACTTGACGTAACTTACAAGCTCTTACGTAAAAATTCGTTTAAATGGATGTTGCTTATAATTGAACAGCCGAAGCCTAATGCCACGTCGAAATCTGTTTCATTTTGATTTTTCTAAGTTCCCAAAAGTTAAGTTAAGTTGCCATAATCAGGCGTTTAGGCTTAAACTTTTCTATCATCTAAGGAGATGTTTTGGAAAAAGAAATTAAAACTAATTTTATTTTTGGAGGTATTTTAAGAACAGTCCAGCTCAAGCAAATTCTAATATTTTTCAGAAATATTTTGGCGGAAGTCTCAAAATATAATAGATTTGATTATTCCGATGGAAAAACAGTACCATTTTTTTTCTAGTGAGTCAACCTAGTGTACACAGATATACTTTTTACTTAAAACTTTATCAAAGCAAACTTTAATTAGTGATTGCTATTTAGTTCAAACATTTTTTTTTTTAATATTTCACGTTTTTTCACGATTTGGCCAACGGCTTGTTTCTACTTTGTTCACTGAGATTTAGCATTTCTTCTTATTTTTAAACGATTTCAATAAAATGAGGAGGTTATAAATTCGTCGGAATATTTTTTTTTATTTTATTTTTTTTACGGCATAACTTTGGACCACGTTAATCGATTTCAATATTTTTCACATGGTCCCATGTTAATTTGGTTTAGATCCGATCATTTGATCATGAAGAATTTAGCGGTAAAAATTACTTGTTCTCTTTATTACTCTTGATAGTAAATTTTTGTAATTTATTATTGTTGCATTTGTTTGTGTAAATGATAGCATGTGTGTGCTTGCNTTTTTACGGCATAACTTTGGACCACGTTAATCGATTTCAATATTTTTCACATGGTCCCATGTTAATTTGGTTTAGATCCGATCATTTGATCATGAAGAATTTAGCGGTAAAAATTACTTGTTCTCTTTATTACTCTTGATAGTAAATTTTTGTAATTTATTATTGTTGCATTTGTTTGTGTAAATGATAGCATGTGTGTGCTTGCGTGTGCGTGTCTATTTTGTAAGCATTTCTGTGATACGATATGAGCGTATTGCATTTACGATACTTGACGTCGACGAATAAAAATGAAAGTGATCTTTGTGTATAAACAAAACAAAAACAAAAATTAATTGATAATTGTTTAAAAAAATAATGCGTACAAGATTAAGAGCCAAACATACATACATACATACATATATCAATATACATACCTATATTTATAATGCAATATTTAGTCTCTACGTTTTTATTTTATTATTTAATGTTTGCCGCTTACTTCCACATGTTGTTTGAAATTATTACCTAATTACATAACTAAAAAAAAAAATAAGTTATTAATAAAAACTACATAATATATAAGTATGTGTGCGCAATTGCATACCAAATAAAGTGTTCTTTATTATAACGTATTAAAATTTTTTTGAAATAATAGTTATATACAATTCGTTTCATATAATAAATTATGTTTATCGATTAAATGTATAGTATGTACACATAGTTATGTATTTAAATTGATTTCGAATTTGCAATACATGTATTAGCATCCGTGCATACACTCAGCCAGACCAACTATTTTATGTATACATATATGCACATACATAAACATACATACATATGTATGTATGAGTATGAACCCATAGTATATGTACATATGTACATATGTAAGTGCAAAAGAAATGCATGAAATGAGACTTATAATGCATAAACATACATATTTATATTTGTATTATGAAAAAATAATAAACAATTAAGTAATGAAAAACTACGCAGTTAGGAAGATGAAATAATTTTTGTGACATATCCCCGCCGCCTTCAAAAAATAAAAAATAAAATAAAAAACCGCAAACCAATAATTATTAACGTTAAAAATATTTATGTAGCATGTTCTATATGTGGTAGGGGTATTTGTCGTTTGAAGCTGTAGTTGCAATAATTGTTTTGCCCCTTATTCCTGACGTTTCAATAATAGATGTGTATGTAATTTATTAACTTAACATTTGTCAATGTGCAAGTAGAAGTTAGCAATACAAAAATAAAATAACTAAAACAATAAATTTATTTTTTATTTTTGTGGGTAATATAGAGCGAAAATTATCAGACCTCTCAGTTTGAAGAAAGCTGTGTGCATTGAGTCGGTTATTTTTTTTCTCATTGTTCACTGCGATTTGAGTTCTAGAAATATAAAATTCCATTACCGAAAAAGCTAATGTTGGGTATATAAGCCGTGACCTTGAATTTAAAAATTATTATTTTTTTCTCCTTTAATCAAAATAAAAATGGAGGAGTGTATTATTAGTCGGGTACCAATTTTCACTTATCTACATATTTTTGCGTTTTACGATTTAAAAGAAATTGTATGCTTTCATTTCTTCTTTTGCACAGCGACTATTTGAAAATAAAATAAAATTTTGATTTGAAAAGTTAAGCGAAAAAAGCCTACATATCCAAGTAAATATCCGTTAGAGCCAAGTAAATGCCAAAAAGAGCTTTGAAAATGCCAAAAGTCGCTATTTTTCATGAAGTTTTTTCAAAAATTTTATCAACTTATTTAAGTAATAAGCCTGGTGGCGGATGGTATTTTCGCTGTTACATACATACATATATTTCCTCGTTTCGGATTTAATGGAAATATACGAATGAAAGCTTTCAATTTCACTTCACTTCAAATTACTGGAGGTTCTGCTTAGGGAGGTTGTATTGTGTAGCATTTTTATTTATTCGTTTTCGAGAACGAAAAACTACACTGAAGATGGCACAAGGCCGAAACCGGTTTGTCTCCATAGCAAACTTGCCAAAGGTTGACGGCAATGCGTTCCAAAATAGATCATCTTCCCACAAATTAGGCTAATCACTTTTTATTTCCATAAAAATGTGTACCAAATTCTTATTCTAACTGTTAACAAAAAAAAAAACAAAAAAAACAAATGTGTTATTGAATGCTATCAAGATATTTTGTCGGAAAATTTAAACAGGTTTATGAAAACAAAAGAAAAAAATATTTATAAAAATAGGTTTAAATTTGTTTTTGATATATGTACTTTCTAATAAAAAAAAATAATACTTTTTTAGTTATCAAATATATTAAAAAATGAAGATAACATTTATTAAAAAAATGCAATAACATTCTTCAAGGAAATTAAAAACGCCAAAACGGAATCAACTCAAAAGTTAATTTTTTTTTAATATTTGGTGTATTGTATTAAAAAAAAATATATTTATCCGATTTATTCGTTCAAACGAGTACTTATTTAGAAAATGTGTATACACACAAACACAGCTATTGTAATCGGTCTCTCTCTCTCTCTGTCTCTGTTGAACTAAAGAGACTTAAGAAATTTAATTCTAAAATAACAGTAGTGATTGCAGTTTGTCTTAAATACTACATATAAATACATATAAATGTGTGATAACTTACATAATGACGTAAGAAATTAGCGAGAGAAAAGTGAAAATAAGAATTTAGAGTTTTAAAGTATGTAAATATGCATTTTGCTACATAAAAAAATTGAAACCCAGCTATAATTGTGAATAAAAAAAAGTAGAAGTTTTGTGATTTGGCAAATACACATTTACAAAAATGCATAAATGTAGGGTGCGTTCAGAAATGCATCAAGCCAAAGCATCAGTCTCCTTTATTTCAAAACTATAATTGATGGAAATGTCAGATATGCGCAACCACGGTTAAAAGCCGAATTTGAACTTAGCTGCGTAAATAAGACATTTCCATCAACAATGGTTTGAAAATAAAAGATAGTGATGCTTTGGCTTGATGCATTTCTGAACGCACCTATAGTGTACATACATACATACATGCATAAACACCATTGAGACACTTGTAAAATGCATTAGTGAAACAAAAAGTAGGAAACCAACCTAAATACACATAATTGCCATAATTTAAAAAATACAAAATAAATATATATGTAACCTCTATATAATCATATACACATCTGTATGTTGAGGGGGACAAACAAAAAAAAAGAAAAAGAATAGATGTGAGCAAACCAATCAAGTCGGGAGCTTATTGTGAGCAACTACATAATTTTGCAGAAACTAAAAATTAAAATTTCTCCGCAAATTTCAAAAAAAAACTTATAAAATAAAGCACAAGATGTATTTTTGGACAAGAAAATAAAATACAAAATCAATTAAGAAATTGCATTCGAAAATCTGCCAATTTTAGAGCAGCTACTGTAGTGAGTTAAATTCAATAAAAAAAAAACACTAATGTTAACTATTATCAATAAACACAAAAACTATAATGAAAACCGTAAAAAGCAGCTAAACAATAAAAGAAACCAACATACGCAGGTATGTATGTACATACATACATACGTTGATAAGCGTAGCTATATATTAAGTATGAAACAATAAATTTAAAAAAAATGTACACATAACACAATAAACAAATTATATTAATAGTAGACTAAAAACAAAACATCAGTACATACACATTTAAATACATACATACATACATACATAGAAACAGATGATTAATTTATTTTAGAAACCAAATGAGTATCCGAGTAAGAACGGTGAAAGTAAAGAGAAAAACCAGCAAACAATACGTTGGCATAAGTAAAAAATACTTATCTATGCAGTAATAAATAAAATCAAAATAATTGTTAAAAAAATAAATAAAAAAGTGACTTTTGGTCATGAGTGCAAGAGGTAAGTTTTTAAATACTTGAAAGCGCTAGTCATTTTAAAAGAGACACCACCCTGTTCTACGATATTCATAAAAAACGCCTAAAAGTATGCAACAGTACAGCCACTCACGCAGAACTAGTCGTGCCGCAATTTCGGCTCGAGCAAATATACCAGGCCCGCAGCAGGGCACAGCAAGAAGCAGCCCGCAAATTTATCGGACGAAAACGCGAAAATAAGCGGCATTAGTGATGTGCTGAGTCCACACTCGGTACCGATTTAAAAAGTATCCAATATTTTCGATACTCGATACCGAAATGTTCGTTACAGCTCGGGCAATTCTACCAGGCCCGCAGCAGCGAACAACAACAGGCCGCAAATGCTTGCTTCTTCTTTGTCCGCTGCCCAATTACAATAGAGCTGAACATACAATTTTTAAACCCTTCTGATGCAGTAGCATTTTAACAAAACAGGTGCTGGGTAATTTATTTATGGTAAAAATATTCAGTTCAAAATGCTGTATTTAAAAAATCCTTTATAATAAAATAAAAAAAATTTAGCCCACATTTTGTTGTGAGCGCACACAGTGAAAAGAAGCAGCATGCAATGACGTTTGGCCGCATGTGTCTTTGTTTTGGTTCGTGCCCAACCAGGGAAATAACGCGTTTTGTATTTTTACCTTTACAAAGTTTTAGAAGCATATTAAAAACTAATCAGACCGACATATGGACGACGATTCATCCGATAGCGACTATCATGTCGAGGAATTTGTCAAGCCGAAACGTGTACGCCACACAGCAAACGGCGATGAAGCGGATTTATTGGGCAACTTCGATGATGTGAAACGCAAGGAGATATTCGATGGCACATATGAAGAGAAAACAGCGGAACCCAATCCCAGCGATAGTGATGACGAAGATGATGCGGCCACTGATAGCGAACAGGAAGGAGTTGACGAAAATTCACAAGCAGAGCACAGCGCAAATGGAGCGGCAATTGACAAAGCCTTGGCTGAAAACGAAGCCCCTAGCAATGATGAACAAGATGAAACAGATGAGGTGAAAACTAATTTAACAAAACAACAGCTGGCAGCGCTTATGCGTGGTACTGCAAAAGCTAATCGTCATGTGCTCTATGTGACCAATTTAAATTTCGAGACGACAGGTACAGACTTGGAGGCGCACTTTTCCAGTGCTGGTACGGTGAAAGGTGTACGCATCCCGAAAAAACGTCGTGGTGGTTTTGCTTTTGTTGAAATGGCTGACATCGAAAGCTATCAACGTGGATTTCAATTGCATAATTCCACACTGCAAGGACGCACCATTAAAGTGCAATTTTCAGAGGCAGGCAAAAAGAAATCTGCAAATAAGAAAAACATTTTAAAACAAAAAAATAGAAAATTAGCTGAAATGCGTAATGAACAGAAAACATTTACGAAGAGCGGCAAATTCTACGATAAAAATTTGAAAAAGGAGAAGGCAAAGGACTTGCTTGCACGCAAGCGTTGGCGCAAGCCCACCGCAGCGAAAGGCGCGAGACCTTAGTTGCAAACTTGTAGCTTTTAAATAAAATTACATTTTATTCTAACAACACTTTTGTATATTTTTTCAACTAAACTACCAAATATTCAACAAATACCTTTCGTCGATGGGGATGCCTATTTGAGCCAACGCACAATGTAGAAATTCTTTTTCCCCACACGTAGCAACGATAGTCCGTTTTTGAGTACATGTATTCCAGTAGTAATGATTTCAGCAATGTTTTGTACGCGCTTTTGATTAATGTAGAAGCCACCAGCGGTAATAATGCGCATAGCGTCACCTAAGGGAAATATACTTTTAATTTGAAACTGTGTCCGTAAAATAATGTTTAATGCATTTACTTTCGCTATTAAAACATTTGGCTTTCATTGCCAGTTGCAGCATCGACATGCCCGGTTCCGCCAGAATGTCGACAACTTTCGCGCCTGCAAATGTCTTTTTCACTTCTTCGTAGTTGAGTTCACCCAATGCATCAACACTACCTTTATAGAGCGCGTCAGTGATGCGCTCAGCTTGCTTCAGGCCTTTTTCTGTAACAGATACAAATTATTCCGAGATGTACATAAATAAAATGAGTGACACTAAAATTAGTCAACGCACGCACCTCCATGCACTAATAATGTAACATCTTCTGCCAATATCGTTTGCGCTTTTCGTTTCTCTGGCTCCCTCCCATGTTCACGCATCAACTGCTCAACTTCTGGCAAAGGTATGAACGTAAATAAGTGCAACAATTTCTCGACTTCAGAATCTGGCATGCGCACAAAGAACTGATATAAAGAAAATGCGGAAGACTTCTCCTCATCTAGCCACACTGCATTGCCCGCTGACTTGCCAAATTTATCACCTTCTTCATTGGTGACCAGCGGTAGTGTCATACCAAAGACTGGCTCTCTAACTACGCGACTTATCAACTCATGGCCAGACATCAAATTACCCATCTGATCTGAGCCGCCCATTTGAAAGCGGCAATCATATGTACGGCATAAATGCAACCAGTCATAAGATTGAAAAATTTGGTATGTGAATTCTGTAAAGCTCATACCAGACTCGGATTCCAAGCGTGACTGCACTGAGGAACGTGAGAGCATCGAACCCATACGAAAATGGCGCCCCATATTCGCAACAAAGTCGATGAGGTTCATATTCGCATACCAATCGGCATTGTTTACAATGCTATAAGTGTTGGAAATTTTTTTTAAATTGGTTATGGAAATTAATTAAATAATTGAATTACATACCGTAAATCTGGAAGTTTTCGCTTATTTTTGCTATCGTCCCACAGGCAGTCTTGATGATTTTGAAAAATACGTGCTAATTGGCTTTTTATGGCTTTCAAATTCGTTTCTATTTCCGTTTCACCCATTTGATTACGTTCCGTTTTGCGTCCACTGGGATCACCAATCAAGCCGGTAGCACCGCCAACCTAAAATAAAAGAGAGTTGTAAATGTATCTACTATAAGTTAAGTTTTCTTAAGCCTCACACCAGTGCAATGGGATTGTGACCGGCACGCTGACAATGTAGCAAACCCATTATCACCAACAAATTGCCTACATGTAAGCTATCGGCTGTTGGATCGAAGCCGGCATAGATAGTTTGAGGTCCGCTTGTGAAGAGCGTCTTCATCTGATCGCTATTGAAAAAGCATATATGTAAAGTAAATGTATGACTTAATTGAATGGAAGTTAACATTTAATTTTAGCTACTTTGCCGTGTCTGGAAAAATGTCTTGAAAGAAACCACGACCTTTAAGTGCGAGTAGGTTTTTATATGCGATATTCCGCTTGATAAACACGCGCTGAAATTGTGTTAACAACGTTTGCCGGCGTATCATTGTACGTTTGCTTTTTGTTTGTTTTAAAAGCTGAGTTTATTATATAAAATTGTACCTAAAATAAAAATATAAATCACCAATCGGCCCAATGCAAAATTTTTAAATAGTGAGGTTAGTGGTCAAACAGCTGATTTTATTGTGGGAACAGTGAATGCCGATGTTTGAAGTACAGGTATGTTAGAAATTAATGGTATTGGTTACGTGGTGTTTTGAATGGTTATGCGGTATTTTGTATGCAGAGATCTGCTGATAATTTCGCGTGCTGTTTTCCAAATACCCCAAACAAGCCATCTGGGAGGAAAACCAAAATCAAGTACGGGGGATCAAGTGGCTCGGCTGTTTTTTTTATTAGGTTTTTGAGATATTTCGTAAAGATTCGGAAAGGCATTATTTTCAAATATATTGAATTTAAATTGATAGAGCTCGATCGAATAAACATCGTTAAATATACACGGAGAGAAACGATTTCCCATAATATGAACTCTATGATTGCGCTGCTGATTTATTTTAAAAAATGGTAGAAAATTCAATGTCCCTTTGAGATTTTAAAGGCATTATTGTTGCATATTAAATGTTTCGAAAATAAAAGCCAGCCATAAAAAAAAGCACTATATTCAGCATTTTTCGCCGGGTGCCCTGATTGCCCCTGAGCACAATGTGTTCTGGTCAATAATTAAGATCAAATATAGCTGCTGGTAGCTCCTGGTTATGTACCAGTCTACAAAATACCTTCCAGCAGGTGGTCGTAAGAAGAGTTTTGAGCTACGAAGGGAATCAGAACCTTATCCTTTAAAACCCCAAGGCGAGAAAAGTAAGCCCGGACATGTCCAGGCGACAATAAGCTGCCCGGTTCAAGGAATACATCGTTTTAAGTCCCTCCTGCAGCAGTTTGGGGCGACTTCGGTTAGCAGCAGAAAACACACTGATTGAGTCGAAGATGAATGACTCAGAGTACATTCGGAACCCAAAAACATTTCTGTCCTTAGACCTTCATTGGTTCAGTAGGAACTCTCATTAATCAGATAGATGGCGTGCCTGATGACTCCGTCGAGACAACATTAAGCAGCTCAGAAGTGGCCAATGCCAATCCCGTGAACTTATTCTATGAACGTTTTCCGCAGTACACCCATTGGGATTGAAATGTTTTCAGGGACTAGAAAAAGCCGACGGGAATATATTGCAAATAAGAATTACGAGCGGATGGTATTACTGAATACATCGTAGTTCGATTTTCGTGAAATTTGCAAGAATATAACCACTGAATCCCAATTGCTACGAACGCATGCATTTGAAGAATATGTTACTTTCGTAGCTATTCGAATTCAGTGACAACACTTTCGTAGATTTCACAAAAAAACGGACTGCGACGGATTCAGTGAATGGCCCGATTTTTTCTCTGTACAAATACCTCATAACCTATTTTCCAAAGAAAGTAAAAAATAGGGCTGAATGTTACATTCGGATTTTTCGAATATACGGATACTTTAATATCTGATTAAAAAATCCGAATATCCGGATAACCAAATGAGCGGATATTAACCGGATATACGAATAACAAAACTAATGGATACTAACCGGATATCCTGATTTTGCGTTCACACATATTTTAGAATATCCGGATAACTAAATTAATGGCTGCGTTTCTTTATACATTCCGGATAATCCCATTTCACAGCCGGAATAAACAGAATGCGTTTGAAATATACGTCAACATATCATCAGGAACGTTCTAAAGAATAAATAAACAAAAAAGTTTATTCCAAACGTTCAGAATGAATAAAGAAATGCAGCCAAAGAATATTAACCGGCTGGATATCCGCATGACAAAAAGATATGGATTTAATTCTATTACCCGAATATACGGATAATACCAGCTGTAGTAATTGGTATACATAAAAAAACGTTACTTTTACAAAATAAATAAATGCCTAACATACATACATAGTTCAAAAAATGATGCTAAAATTTTTAATAAGGAAGGTCAAACGTATACAGTTATGCGAAGCACAAAAAAAAACTATAATTAATTTAATTTTTCGTACTTCTTTAAAAATGTAAACAGAAACACAAAATTTCTTCAACTTCGTAGAAGCATGGCATCGATTTTAAGATGTCAGAAACTTCACATAATCAAAAAAGAAATTTTAATTCTAACAAAACGTACGTTAAAAGCAAAATCTCTACAAATAATATCCGAATATCTGGAGGATAGTTCAGCCGTTGTAGATAAGATGTCAAAAGTATCCCGAAATCTTTACAAAGGTCAGAGTCTAGCGGTTTTCACTAGTGGTGGCGATGCATGTGGCATGAATGGAGCTGTGCGCGCTTGTGTGCGCATGGCCATATATTTGGGCTGTCAGGTAAGGAGGCAGCAAATAAAACAGTTGTACTACTAGAAAGCGCTCAGTTTTTTTGGTTTGTCCTTTTCGCTTCTCGCAGCCCTACATGATACGTGAGGGCTATCAAGGCATGGTGGAGGGTGGTGATCAAATTGTTAAAGCAGTCTGGTCATCGGTATCCTCCATTATACATGTGGGCGGTACCGTAATCGGTTCGGCACGCTGCAAGGCATTCACAGAACGCGAGGGACGTAAGAAGGCAGCTTTTAATTTGGTGCAAAAAGGTGCACTTAAATCTGTTTTAAAATAACAATATCTAGAAATAAGTATGTATGTATGTCTGTTTTTGTTTAGGGATTAATCGCTTAGTTGTAATTGGTGGTGACGGTTCTCTAACCGGCGCGAATATATTTCGTCAAGAATGGAGTGGGTTGCTGGACGATTTAGTAGTCGAGGGCAAAATCACAATGCAACAAAGAGAACAATTCAAAGATTTACATATTGTGGGAGTGGTAGGTGATAATGCACATGATGAAACACATTGAAAACGATGGTCTACATGAAGATAGATAATTATTTTTGCGCCAACAGAGCTACAAAACGCGACTATTGTTGTGGTCAGTGTAAATCTATTTGAAAAAATTCATTTATGCATCGACAGTTACAAAATACGCAGCTGTGGCCCGTCGTTTTCAAAAGTTGTCATAAAAGTTCTGTTATAACTTCACTTCGCTTTTATATTCAAGGTTGGTTCCATCGATAACGATTTTTGTGGCACCGATCTAACCATTGGCTCGAACACCGCTCTGCATCGCATTACTGACGCTATCGATTCTATAGTGAGTACAGCTTACTCACATCAACGCATTTTTATAATGGAAGTTATGGGACGACGTTGCGGGTTAGTATGAAATTTATACCTGCATACATATATATTTAGTTAGGTTCATAGCCCGCAAGCCAAAGTTCCCAAAATGTTAACAAAATCTTTAAGAATATCGGAAATGTTTTACGAATTCTGCAATGATTTCTTTACGATTTAGATTTTAGTAAAGTCCACCTCCCGACTTTAGCTGTTACCCTTATTTACAAACATGTGTTTTATGGACCGTATTTAGAAGTATTCTCAATTAATTTGCTCAGGAAATGTTACAAATAATTTATGTGTGTAGTGTTTGTCAACGTTTAAGCGAGTCAGTTAAAGCTCCTACAAGTATGCAACATGAGATATTAAATTTAGATGAATGAACATGTCTTAGAAACGGTACATTGTAACAAACCTCTATTTTGCTACTGGTTTTCTTTGATCCACGTAAACGACCACGCGAGGTCCTTTGGCTTATTGAGGTGATCCAAAGAATCGAAGTCTGGTTCAAGTGCGGGCTTCACATTGGCACATAATGTGCTCTGCTGTTTCCTGTTCTTCGTGGCACTACCTAGACTGATCCGAGCTTTCTGGCGAGAATATCTGCCACTTCATTGCCCAAGACACCACTGTATCCTAGTACGTATATGAGGTATACCCGATTTCTGGATGCGACAAGTGTTAAAAGCTGAAGGCAATCCCATACCAGCTTTAAAGTAACTTCGTGCACTTTAAGAGCAAGGAGCGAGATGTGTTTGTTGGTTTCACCACCACATGCACCCCGGCCTGAAAGACAGAGTTACCTTGCCATATGCTGTTGAAAAGGAGCTTTATGGCCTATATGCCGTAGACTCCAGCTCCGACACCGTGGCCAGTCTTGAAGCCATCAATATACCAAATAGGGCTGTCTTTCCGGGGTTTGGGTCGTTCGTTGTCACAGTTGGTTCTCTTGGGGAAAAAGACCTTGAAATTTTGTAAAATCTTTAATGAGGTTAAATCTCGGAAGGCACAGCTTTATTTAGGTGGGGATTCCATGAGAGCTTGTCTTATGGATAACTGCCAGATATTTCACTTCAATAGATAAGTGTCTCTTTTCTTCTTGAAGGAACCATTCCTTGTAGTTTGTCTGTTATACTTTTCCTGGAGAAAATGACTGTGTTGATCTTCTTGAGGTTTACGTTTAACCCATTATTATTGCACGCATTTGGTGACTATACTCAGCGAATTTTATAGAAGGTTGGAGATAGTGTCTTCAAACCCACCTCTGATTAGGATGATATTTTCGTCTGCGTAGCCCACAACTGAACAACAAGAATATAGGTCAAAGTATTTACGATGTTTGTTACATTCGTAATTTGTTGATAATTTTTTTCATTTTCTAATTGCAGCTACTTAGCAATCGTTTCCGGTATAATATCTGAAGCCGACTATGTGTTTTGTCCTGAATCACCACCGCCAGAAGATTGGCCCGATCGTTTGTGTGAAAAATTACAAAAGGTAAGCATCTATAAAAATCGCTTAGTAAGTTAAAGCGTCAAGCAATAAGAAGAAGAACCCCGAAATAATACTCCGCACAAATTATATATCAGGGGTATACTTAGCTTAAAGCTGGCCCTATTATTTCATAGTCTGGGCTTTAGGATAGCGGCTAGGGCTTCTTATAGGGCAATTCTGGCTAAGACAGTAAATAGTCTTTCGTAAGACAATTGAAAGACGGATGTTATTCTGGTACAAAAGTCTTACAAAAAAAAGCTCTCTCATTCACCACTCGTGGTGAAAAGCTATTTTGAGATGAACCACTTGTATGTCGTTTAGCTCGCGTCGCTCCAACAGTCACAATGGCGGAGTGAGCAGAGCATAGGCATGTCGTTCGAAAGATTACGTGTTCGAGTGGCGGGCGGTGGAACTTTTTTTTTAATTAATTGAGAAGAAAAAAATTCCATTTGAATTTAATTTAATCATTTAATTATTTAATTTTGCTTTATTTTAATTTTTTTATTGAACTTTCTTTTATTTATTACTTTTGATTGTTTTAAAAAGACAAATATATATGTATATGTGTTTTTTAAATTGAATTTAATTAGCAGATCTTTCTATTAGTCGTTCGAAAGACAGTAAAGAGCTTTTAAAATAGTTGCCAGAATAGACAACCGTGGTGAGGTGAAAGACAGTTGCCAGAATTACCCTGTTAAGTTCAATCTAACTTTATCTTCTGCTTTCCGCTAGCTTTCTTGGACAACGCCACCTAGCTTGTCAATTATTTTCAGTACTACTCGTAGGTCACACTCAAGAATGATAGAATACAAGATTGCGCCGATCAGAGAGGATTTTTGAGAATAACTTTTGTGTGACGTCACACTGGTGCAATTGCGAGAGAGAAATGCCAAAACGTGAGCAAGAATGGAAGAAGAAGAAAAAATGTTGCAAGGAAAACGTAAACAAGTTGCACAAGTGTGACGTCATGTAAACAACGATTCTGTCAAATTCGTTAAGAGAGGAATAGCGGTCCGAGATCAGCGCAACCTTTGTATTCTCTCAATCGTGGGTCACGCTAAACCGTGAGGGATCGATTAATCTTTGCAGAAGAAGGGACGCCAGGCGCCGACTTGGAAGTTAACGATTAGGGTGAACTATGCTATGTATGCCTACCCAACGGAAATGCTTTTATCGAGTCTATTGAAATCGGCTATTTGCTATCCTTCTCGCAGGCTCTGCTTTCTCTAAAGAGGTTTCATGTTGCCTTGGTCCGCAATATAAGAAATACCCTCCAGACGTTTGTCCTCGTCGCAGTAGGTGCGGATCACCGAAGGTTAGTCAAAACGATAGCTCGGGTAGGCGATTTCGGCGCCGTCAACGCTGTCAACAAACTTGTTGTAAGTTTTATCCAGTGACTCCATTTTCCCTGTGCAGGGGTTCAAAGCTAGTTTTTATTGTCGAAGAAGTGAAGAGCGATATAGATTTATAGCTGTTCTCATTTGCGGAACTATTCCCCGTCAAGGAGTCCGACCATATTCCTTATTTTACCTAATCCGACGAGACCTTTCGGTGATCAAAAAATAAGCGAAAGACCAAGATCAGTGGGCATAAAGAGAGATTCATGACACAGCAAGTCCACAGTTACTTCGGGTTTGTTCCATCTGAATATTATCGGAAAATCATATATAATATAATAATATTAGAATATAATTTCTGGCCGCCTTTGGGCTCTCATTATTATTCAAGTAGCCAAAGAAATTGTGGTACGCTAAATTCATATCCCGCAGTCGCCTTGGCTCCAAACCTGCATAACACCTCGGCGAATACATGATTTCCTTCGCCTTTTAAGTAGATCTGACCCCCTCAACAAATGTAACTTGGAAAGGTATACTAACTACAGACCGGACAGAATGTAGAAAATCAGAACTACGACTGTCTACTATATAACCTCATTTCCGATCGGAAAATTCAAAAGTGTACAACAAATATATCGTCGAGGGCTCGACATTTTGGCTCTCATGCTCTGTTCTAGTTAAGTAACATTTTCTTTCCTTTAATCAGGAGCGAAACGCCGGACGACGTCTCAACATCGTTATCGTTGCTGAGGGGGCGAACGCTATAAATGGCGATGCCATTACATCGGAAATTGTACAGAAAGTTATTAAGGAAAAATTAAATTGGGATTGCCGTATTACCGTTTTGGGTCATGTGCAGCGCGGTGGAGCGCCTAGCGCCTTCGATCGTATCGTCGCTTGTCGCATGGGCGCCGAAGCAACAGTTGCTGTATTGGAATCAACAACAAATACAACGCCTGCCGTCATTGTCATCGTTAACAATCGCATTGAGAGAATACCACTGATGGGAGCTGTGGAGCGAACGCAAGGAGTGAATCTTGCCATGAAGGATAAGGATTGGGAGAAAGCCGTTGCGTTGCGTGGTTCATCATTTCAAGAGAATCTGCAAGCGTTAAAGATGCTGTCGCTGATTAGACCGCCGAAAGCAACGGAAAGCCCAAGCCATTGCGTATGTAGTGAGAGCACAGCTTTCTTCCTCTCGGCTTGGTTAAGCTACTTGACTGTTTTTTGTTTTTTATTCTGGAACAGGCTCCCTTCAATGTTGGCGTTATGAATGTCGGTTCACCAGCATGTGGCATCAACGCGGCCACGCGCAGTTTTGTTCGAGCTATTATTTATCATTGCGATTTCGTGTTTGGCATCTCGAAGGGTCTGACGGGCCTAATGGCGGGTGAGGTGAAACAATTGAGTTGGTAAGTGATATACGTACATACATCAGCACCGTTAATATTTCAATCACCTGGCATACTTCGCAGGAGTGATGTAATCGGTTGGTGTGGGGAAGGTGGCGCCTTTCTTGGCATGAATCGTGTAACACCCGAAGGTAAATTTGCTGAAATCGCTGACCGTTTGCGTGAGTTCAAGATCCATGCCTTGGTCGTTATTGGCGGCTTCGAGGCGTATCGCACTGTTTTTGCTTTGACATTGGAGCGCCCTAATTATCGAGAATTCTGCATTCCTATGGTCGTTATACCCTCGACCATTTCCAATAACATGCCAGGCACAGAGTTCTGTGTCGGCTCAGACACCAGCTTAAATGAAATTATGAAATGTTGTGATTTGATACGCAATTCGGCGCGTGGCTATAAGAAACGCGTCTTTATCATTGAAACAATGGGCGGTTATTGTGGCTATTTAGCAACCATGTCAGCTATGGCGAGTGGCGCTGATTCGGCTTACATCTACGAGGAGAAATTTCGTGTGAGTGACATACAGCGTGACTGTGCCAATATGGTCGCTAAGATGAACGAGGGCATCGAGAGGGGGCTGGTGTTGCGTTCGGAAGGTGCTAATAAAAATTATACAGCAAGTTTTATGGAAAGACTTTATGAGGAGGAATCTAATGGATTGTTCACCTGTCGTACAAATATTCTAGGTATACGAACTGCAAATGAGTAATGAATTGTAGCGATTTTTTAGGAAATTTTACCAGGGGTATTCTCGAAGTCTTGCAAAGCCCTTGCACTACGCAAAGTTTGCAAAGCTGTCCCATAGGAAAACCGGTTTTTAAAATGCAATCAGTGCAATCCGTGCAATCCGTGCACCGTGAAAGGGCTTTGCAAGTCTTCGAGAATACCCCTACTGTAATTTTATACCCATCTACCTTTCGCTTGCTTAGGTCACATGCAACAGGGCGGCTATCCCACACCATTTGATCGTTGTTTGGCAACGAAAATGGGCATCGTTTGCGCTCAATATATTCGAGAACAAATGAAAGCAAGTGTGCAGCCGGATGGAACGATAATGACTACATCCAAGCAATCAGCATGCATGCTCGGCGTAATGGGTGCGGAATATAAATTTTCACCAGTAGAAGACCTGGCTAATGAAACTGAATTTCAGTAAGTGTACTATCTTTGGTTTCGGTTGGAAAGAGTGTTGCTTTTCTGCTAACGTTGAAACGTTCATAAGGCTGCATTCACACGAGCAAATTTTGGGATGGGGTATTTTAAAACCCATTTGTGTCTCATGACATGACCTTAAATTTTGTGCATTTCAAATTAATTAAAAATTCATAACATTTATTGGTTTGTTTTTAATTTCTAGACATCGCATACCGAGATTGCAGTGGTGGATGCAAATGCGTCCATTACTAAAAATTCTTTCAATACACAATTCAGCTTATGAATCTGATAGTGAGTACCGTCTTTTAGAATATTTTATTAACTTGTGTTACTTTGGTTATGGTACGTTTTACTAAATGATTGCGAAATAGATTTTTCAATTGCAGCCACTCCAATTCAGGAACCGGTTGATATAAACTGCACCGTTAATTGAAACGTTCTACTCTTTGATAAATGTTATTTGTAAAGGAATTAATGTAGAAAAAAATTTAACGAATCGTAATACAAATGTATTTTATATTAAATAAATATGTATCTATGTATGTATGTAGACATTTGTTTTAAAAGAAAATATATAAATCATAGACTTGAAAAGTCGCAGCACATTACGGTGGTTTCAACGTGTTAGTTCTGAACTAATGTTTAACTTGTTGAGTTGTTAGCTACTCCCAGAAAGAGAAACATAACAGAAATCACCTGGAAAAAAGGTCTGAACTAGAACGCACCATAATGTCGAATTTCCACTAGGCATTAAAATTATAAACAAATTATGCCATTTAAAAAAATTCATGCAGAAACATATTGAGTGACTATTACGCCGAATTTCCACTAGGCATTGAAATTACTAAAAAATTGGAGGCATTTCAAAAATACGTATTGAAACATATTGAGTGACTATTACGCCAAATTTCACACTAGGCATTGAAATTACTAAAAAATTGGAGGCATTTCAAAAATGCCTTGTGGAAATGAGTTTAATGACTTTGTTATAAGTAATGCCAAGAATATTTTTTAATGCCCAAATTTATAATTAAAACGTCTGCCATTTAATGCTTGGTGGAAATCCAGCATTATTCTCAAAGCAATAACACTAATATTTTTGGATGCCCAAACTTATCATTAAACTTGAAATTTAATGCCGAATGAAAATACGGCATAGGTAATAGGCGGCATACACGGTGCGTCTGACTCGTGAGTCGGTTTGGATGTATTTGTGAAAATAACTATGAGTTAGTTACACCAACATGACTCCTGGAATGACTCTGAATGATTCAAATGTGTGTAGTCGAAGGCGAGTCAACACGTACACAAATGACTCTGAATGATTCAACTGTGTGTAGTCGAAGGCGGGTACCTAAATGACTGCCGAGTCAGACGCACCGTGTATGCCGTCTACAAAAGATTTCAACAAAAAT